AATTTGCTTTTCCTTAGTAATTCAATCTAATAAATAAACATTTATTAAACACCTACTATGGGTCAAGCAGCACTGGGGATAAAAATAAGAAAAAAGAAAGACAATCCCTACCCTCAAGGAGTTTACAATCTAATGGAGGGAGACAGCACACAAAAGGAAGCTGACAAGGGGGTGCACAAAGGGGCACCCGGCACAGGGCTGTGGGGAGTGGGTCATGATATTCCATGGAGTCAAAACCAGGCAGATCAGCTGAGTTACCTGGGAAGTTCAGATCTGAGCCTTCTATGAGGGAAGGATTTAGGAAGAGCTCATTACTCCACCTTCCAGCCCTCCAATCAGAGAGGACAGGCAACTGAGGCAGCTCAGAGGGTATCAAAAACTGAATTAGTTTCCTGGTTCAGTAGAACCAGGGACAGCTTTGTGTTTGTCTTTGTATCACCAGCTCTTAGCATGGTGGATGGAACAGAGTAGTACTTATATATAGTGTGTGAAAGTTTGCAAAGTGCTTCATGAATATTATCTCATTTGAACCTCACCAGGTAGGTGCTATTATCAGCCAAAACTATCATGCCCAGCCCAGAACTCTAGACGGTGTCTGGCCAGGGCAGAAGATGGAGTGACTCTCAACTCCATGGACCTGGAAGCTTAAGACAACATTAGTTATTCGGACCTCAGATCTCCAGCTATTTTGGGAGAAAAGAAGTGGAGGAAAGGAACCTACAAGGGGATACTTCTGGAAGATGTGTGGCCCAGAGACACAAATCAAGTGCTTTCTCGCTAATAATTGCAGTGTTAAAACTTGACGCTCCACAAATAAGGCTCATACAACTCCTACCCAGTATTAACCAAGATGTTGCAGACATTCAAGGGGCATGTCCTTATTTTATTCCTGTTTTCTCAGCTAAGGAGGATGCCCTGTGGACTGGAAAGGACAGAATGAAAGGGCTAACAGGAACTTGGTAGCCAAGATGATTAGGGAGATGATAAGAAAGTCTCTACCTGTCCTTCCTGAATTTGTCACCTTGCCCAGAGGAAGACCAAAGAACCGATAGATGGAAGGGTTGCTAAGCTATGGTTATGAGTCAGTCTTTGAGAGATCATGGGGAGTGGAAAAGTACCACAGGATTGGAGAAGGGCAAATGTTGTCCTAATGTTCAAAAAAAAGGCAAAAAATGGAGACTAGAGGCCAGACAACTTGACTTTGATTCTTGGCCAAATTCTAGGATTGATTATGAAAAGGATGGTTAGTGAACATTTAGAAAAGGAAGAAATGATCACAGAATGTTAAGCACAGGGCTTCATCAATTACAGGACATGGAAGCCTCATTTCATTTTCTGCCTTGACAGAGTTGCTAGACTGGTCGACCAGGGAAAGGCTGTGGATGTAGATTATAGCAAAACATGTGATAAAAAAAGCTTTCTTGTTGGGGAGAGGGCAGGAAAGGAAACAAGCATTTATTTAGCTCCTATTATGTGCCAAGCCCTGGGCTTCATGCTTCACAAATATACTCATTTGATCCTTACAACAACCCTGGGAAGTAGGTGCTATTATTATTCCCATTTTACAGTTGAGAAAACTGAGGCAAAGAGAGGTTAAGTGATGTGTCTGAGGTCACACAGCTCAGAAGTGTCTGAGACCAGATTTGAACTTAGATTTTTATGGATGAGCAGATTGAGGCCCAGAGACATTAAGTGATTTGCCCAAGGTTGCACAGTAAATATCAGAGTCAAGATTTTAATCCAGCTTCTATGATTCCAAGTCCAGTCCTCTTTTTCAGTATACCGTATTTCCTTCTTATGGCAGAGCAAAGTTACAAAAAAAAAGTTTGCCAAGCAAAAAACACTGGGCTTAATTAAGTAAGAAAAAATTTAATTAGGATAAATATCGAATCTTACACTTGATTTCGGAAAGTCAATTTCATGAGTACAAAATGGAGGAGGACAACAGCTCATGTGAAGAAGAAGATGCCAAACTCAACCCTATAACTAAGTAGCCAAAATAGTTAATCCCATCTTAGGCTACCTTAAGAGAACCATAGCATCTGGGGTAAGGAGGTGATGGGCCCTCTGCACTCTGCCCTGGTCAGAGCCCATCTGGAAGACTATGTTCAGTCCTGGGAGCCACATTTCAGGAAGGATACTGATATGTCAGAGAACAGCCACAGGAAGGTGGCCAGAATGGTGAAAGCCTTGAGTCCATGTCATCTGAAGACACTAGGGATGTGTAAAGGCCTGGAGAAGAGCCAGGTGAGACATGAAAGGTATCTTCAGTATTCATAGGGCTATCACATGGGATTATTCTTATTCTCTTTGGAACAATGGACGGAAGGTACAAAGAGGGAAATTTAGATTTGAAGTCAGGAAAAACTTCCTAATAATTAGAGTTGTCCAGAAGTAGAATGGCTTGCCTGGGAGGTTCTGAACTGGTCCTCCCCAAAGTCTAGAAAAAGAGCCTAGAAGGGCACATGTTAGATATGCTGAAGCAGAGATTCCTTTTTGGAGGTATGGGTTGGACAAGATGGTCACTGAGCTCCGTTTCAGTCCTAAAATTCTGTGATTCCGAGTGCTCAGAGGAGGATAAGCAACAAATCAATTAATCAATTCATTAAGCATCTACTCTGTGCCATCCAGAATGGTAAAGGGATTCATGTTCATGCCATAGAAGGATTGGTTGAAAGAATTAGGGCTGTCAAAGCCTGGAGAAGAAAAGATGATAGGGCATGATGGGGGTCTTCAGGTCTGTTGTGTAGAAAAGGGATTAGCTTTGTTCAACTTGGCCTCAGAGGATAGAACTAGAAGCATTGGGTGGAAATTAGAAGGAGGCAGGTTTAGCCTTAGCAAAACTTCTTAATGATTAGAACCATCCCAAAGTGGAATGGGCTGCCCTGGGAGGTAAGAAAGGACATGAGGAAGTGACTTCAGGGAGATGGTGAGACAGAGGAGTAGTGGGTTCCCTCTCACTGGAGGTCTTCAGGCAAAGGTTGGATGACCACTTGTTGAGGGTTCTCTGGAGGGAATTCTTGTTTGAGAAAGGGCTAGATTATATGGTCATGAGATCTTGTCAGACTTTTTATGATATATCCTATTCCTTGGCTTTGATCTAAATCAAAGGTCCTATCCCTCTTCTTACCTTCCATCACTCAAAACAAATGACCTCAGCTCCTACTTGACTGAAAACTTATATCTGAGGGCCCTCCCATGCTGAAGGGAATGCCATCAATTTTCTCCCTACTCACATCTGTTGCCCTGAAGCCCACTTCACCTGTCTTCTTGAGTTGTCATCTTTTGCTGTTCCTTTTCTGTCTCTCGGTTCTTTCCTCTATGTCCTTAATTTGGATGTTACCCAAGGCTCTTCTCTCAGCCCTCTTCCCTTTCTACAATTTCCCTCAGGGATATTTTCCCCCCAGTCCCAGGATTTCATTGTAGATCTTGGATGACTTCCATGTCTATCTAGTTTTCATGACACTGCTCTCTCCTGGTTTTCCTCTTACTTGTTGGACCACTTCTTCTCAGTTGCCTTTGCTGGATCTTTGTCCAGGTCATGTCTGCTGAATGTGGGTGTCTCCTAAGGAAGTCTCTGCCTGGGTTCCCCTTCTCCATCTACAGGTGATCTGGTCAGCCTCAATGATCATCTCGATGCTGATAATTCTTGCATCTATCTGTCCAGCCCTAAACTTTCTCTTAACCTCCAGTTTCACATCAACAACTAACTGCCTGTTGAACATCTCAAACTGGATGTCTCCTAGACATCTTAAAACTCAACATGTCCAAAACTAGACCCACTAGCTTTCCCCTCAACCCTCCCCTCTTCCTCATTTCCTATCATTGTGGAGGGCATCATCATGATCCCAGTCACCCACACTACCAACCCAAGTGTCATCCTGGACTCCTCATTCTCTTTCATTCCCTGTATCTAATCTGTTGCCAAATCTTGAGCATTCTGCCTTCTTGGCACTTTTCTATATGGCCATTTCTCTCCTCTGTCACTGCCACCAAGCTCTCTCCACTCCAGTCAATCCTTCACTCAACTGTCAAACTGATCTCCCTAAAGCACTAGTCTGATCCTATCATCTCTCTATTCAATAAACTCCACTGGCTCCTCATGCCCTCCATGATCAAATGTAAAACCTTATGATTGCTGTTCAAAGTCCCTTGTAACCTGCCTCCTCCTTCCAATCTTCTCACACCTTCCTCTTTCTTCCCTACTCTGTGATTCTGTGACAATGGCCTCCTTTGGTCAAGACACTCCATCTCCTGACACCAGGCATTTGCACTGGCCGGCCCTCATGCCTGGAATGCCCTCCCTCCTCACCTCTGCCTCCTGGCCTCCCTGGCTTCCTTCAGGTTTCAGCTAAAATCCCACCTTCTACAGGAAGCCTTTCTCAACCCTTTGTAATTCTCTCTAACTAATTCTTAATAAATACATTCTCTCTCTTCACTCTTCCTAACTTCTCTCTAGTGATTATTTCTAATTTATCTCTATATATCTTGTTTGTACATAGTCATTATAGCCTATTAGCCTTGAGGAGTGGGACTGTCTTTTGCCTTTCTTTGTGTCCCCAGTGCTTAGCAAAGTGCCTGGTACATAGTAGGTGCTTAATAAATGCTTTTTGAACAATAGATTGAAAAAAAAAGAAAAAAGCAATAGATTGGTCCATTATAATGGATAACTGAAGGTGTAGCTAGATGTTGAAGGGGATAGAGCACTGGCCCTGGAGTCAGGAGGACCTGAGTTCAAACCCAGCCTCAGACACTTGACACTTAACCAGCTGTGTGACTCTGGGCAAGTCACTTAACCCCAATTGCCTTGCCAAAACTAATGATAATAATGATAATAGATAATTGAATAATGAATGAGGGTCCACTCCCACAGACTGTCAGAGTTGGATGGGACCTCAAAGGTCACCTAATTCAACCCATACCTTACTGCAAACCCTTTTGAGTAGTTTTGGAGGCTCTCTCCACTTCCTGCATAAAGATGCCTCCCTTTGCTTTGACAGATGAGACCACTTCTGTGCTTGAGTTTCTCGGACCTGCTTCTGGGGACGTGTTGGCTCCTGGGGGCTCTGCTGTATGGGACCCCGATGGCCAACGAGGACGTTGTCTGTTATAACCTTCAAACCACAGGCCAGGTGAGTCTGCCCAGGTGGCCGCTCACCTGACGAGGCGGGACTTCCTGAGATGGGAAAAGGAAGCCAGGATGGAATGATGCCTTCTAAGGAGGGGTCTGCCAGCTCTTCTACTTGGACCCCAAAGCTCACCATCTTGTTTCTGGAGTAGACCACCTGCTCTACTTTACTCATCTCTCCCTATTAGCCAACAGGCAACTGCAGGGGTCACAATATCATCCTGCCCAGCAGCCTACAGACAGAATGAATCTTTTTTGTGTTCAGGGCATGCAAACTAAGGGGGTCAGGCATAGTGCCAACAGATGATAAAGGCAGAAGGTTTTGATAGTCAACATCTCCGAAGCATTTTAAGGCTTGCAAAGGGCTTCACATGGGTAATATATTTCATTTGATCCTTATGACAACTCTGGGAGGTAGGGGATGTTATAATTCCCACCTAAGAGTTGGGGCTGAGCAGGATTAGAACTCAAGTCTACCTGACCCTAAGTCCAGTGCTCTATCCCCTATGTTGCAAGGGGCCATTGAGGGAAGTTGGAAATTGTAGCTAAGAGTCAGATGGAGAACAGCAAAGGTGTAACGCACCTAAAGTCAAAAGAAGGAGAGAGAAAAAGAGAGGGAGAGAGAGAGAGAGCAAGAGGGAGAGAGGGAGAGAGAGAGGGAGAGGGAGGGAGAGAGAGAGAGAGTAAGAGAGAGAGAGGGAGAGGGAGAGGGAAAGAGGGAGAGCGAGAGAGAGAGAGAGAGAGGGAGGGAGGGGGGAGAGAGGGAGAGAGGGAGAGAAAGAGAGAGAGATTGAGAGAATAGGAAGGAGGAAGGGGTGGTCAAGTGGCCAAGGCTTCAGAGAAGCAAGGGGGATGAGGCCTGAAAAAAAGCCACTAGATTGGATGATTCAAACGACATCTGAATAATAATAATGATAATAATAATAGCAGTAGTAGTTAACATTTCTCTTTTTGGTAGGCATTGGGGTTAAATGACTTGCTCAGGGTCACATAGCTAGTAAGTATTATGTGTCTGAGGTCAGATTTGAACTCAGGTCCTCCTGACTCCAGGGCTGATGCTCTATCCACTGTGCCACCTAGCTGTCCCCAATAGCTAACATTTCTATAACATCTTCTATGTGCCAGGCACTGTGCTAAGCACTTTACAAATATTACATGTGATCCTCACAACAACCTGAGAGGTAGGTGCTACTGGTATCTCCATTTTGCAGTTGAAGAAACTGAGGCAAACAGAGGTTCAGTGACTTTGCCAGGGTCACACAGCTAGGAAGTGCCTGAGGCCAGATTTGATTCAAGTCTTCCTAATTTCAGGCCCAATGCTGTTCTCACTGACCCACCCAGCCACCTCTTTGAATGATAACAATAATACCTACCATTTCTGTAGTGCTTACTTAGCTGTGCTAAGTGCTTTACAATTATAATCTCATTTGATCCTCACAACAACCCTGGGAGGTGGATGCTCTCATTTATCTCCATTTTATAGTTGAAAAACCTGAGGTTAAATGACTTGTCCAGGATCACACAACTAAGTGTCCGAGGCCAGATTTGAACTCAGATCTTCCTGACTCCAGGCTCAGTGTTCTATCCACTAAGCCTCCCAGTTGCCTTTTGGAGAGCAATTTCAATAGAATAGGGGGAGGGTGTTGTAGCAGAAGCCTTATTTCAGGGAGTAGGGAAGAGCATGCTCTTGGAGCTCTGGAGGCTTTGGGGTAGATAATTCTTTTAAGAGGGGAGGAGGAGAGAAGAGGGGCGGTCACTGGACAGAGTAGAGGAGCCAAGAGGGTCCATTAAGTTATGGCTGAGCAGAGCAATTCAGAGCAGATCCGAGAGGGGAGCCTTGCCTGGAAGAGCCAGAGCACGTGGGCTGTGTCACTGAGCTGGAAAATAGGAAGACAATCATTGACCACGGTCAGCATTCCCCAGGAGGGGCGCAGATGGGGCAGACAAGGCCACCAGTGTCCCTGCCCTGCCTACAGCCCTGCCCTCAGCCCTGAGCTGTTAAATGAGCCAAGGTGGGAATCACTCCGCCCATCAGAGAACAGGAATCCCACTAGAATCAGTTCTCAGACCAGCAATGCGGCTTAATGACAACAGAATCCTTAGCTATAGCAGGGATGTGCTGCAGGCTGCTGGTTCTGGCTGTGAGAGCCAATGGTTAAATTTTCAGTTTGAGAACTTATTACTTGGAAATCTCCAAATGCTAAAAATTAGGGTTTGATTTCTTGTTTTGTTGATTGTCTAGAGTTCAACTGATGGAGAAAATATTAACAACACAGATTAAACTTAACAGTGGGCTCTGCACTTCATTTTTTTCCCCCTTTGGAAAAACTGGCTATTAAACATTTACCAGCACAAGAACACTGGGCCTGCAGTCAGGAAGCCTTGAGTTCAAATCTGACCCCAGACACTTCCTAGATGTGTGACCCTGGGCAAGTTACATAACTCCTGTTGACATCAGCTTCCTCATCTGTAAAATAGGGATAATAACATTATCTCCCTCCTGGGTGGTTGTGAAGACCAAATGAAATAATAATTGTAAAGGGCTTAATACGGTGCCTGGCACGTAGTAAGTTTTATATAAATGTTAGCTATTCTGCCTCTGCCTTAAGAGTTAAGGGCCCACCTAAACCTCCCAAGACAAATAAGAACGTGGTTTATTTTAATAGCTCTTAAGGGGTTGTTGTTGAGTTACGTCCAACTCTCCTTGACCCCATTTAGAGTTTTCTTAGCAAAGATACAGGAGTGGTTTGCCATTTCCTTCTGCAGCTCATTTTATAGCTGAGGAAACTGAGTCAAACAGGGTTAAGTGACTTGCCCAGAGTCACACAGCTAGGAAGTATCTGCAGCCAGATTTGAACTTGGGTCTTCCTGACTGCAGACCCAGCACTTTATCCACTGGGCTATCTAGCTGCCTCCAATGATTAAGGTAGGGATATGGAAGACCTCCCTTACAAAGAGAAGCTGGGAAGGTAGAAATGATAAGATTAAGTAACTGATTGGATATGTGGGGTAAATGAGTGTGAGAAATGAAAGATGACCAAAATTTTAAAAAATGAATCTTAAAAATTGTTTTTACATGTAATTGGGAAAAAATAAAATATTTAAAAAAGAGAAATAAAATAAAATTGGAAAATGTAAATTAAAAAATAGTAATGCAATCCAGATTCCACCAGAAAAAATACATTTTTGGGGGGGGGAGGCAATCAAGGTTAAGTGACTTGCCCAAGGTCACATAGCTAGTAAGTGTCAAGTGTCTGAGGTAGGATTTGAACTCAGGAACTTCTGACTCCAGGGCCAGAGCTCTATCCACTGAGTCACCTAGCTGCCTCAAAAATACATTTTTTTAAAAAAAGTAATTAAAAAAATAAATTAAAGATGAAATCAAAGTTGCAAGCCTGGATGCCTGGAAGGATAGTGGTTCATTTGACAAATTGGGGAAATTTGGAAGTGAGGAGGATTTTGACAGAAATAGGAGTTCTGTTCAACTCATGTTTGAGACGCTTTTGGAACCAGATCTTGTTCAAAATGTCCAAAAGGGAGTTGGTGATTCAAGAGCTCAGGAGAAAGTCTGGGGCTGGGTATAGAGAGCACAGAAATGGTCATGGAGCCCGTGGGAGCTGATGAGATTGGTTGGTGAGAGGCCTCGAGAGAAAAGAGAAGAAGGTCCATGCCAGAGCCTTGGGGGCCCTGGGCTTGGCTCTGAGGAAACAAATACAAAAACCCGAAACCATCCCTATAGCTTATTTTTCTTTTCTTCCCTTAAAAAGTGAACAACTAAACAAAAGCTAAAATCTTTAAGATAAAGTATTTATTTGTTCCCTGTGTTACGGTCTGGTGCATTAGCTGCCTCATTTAATGCTCTGTGGGAAAATGTGGGATCCTATAGCAGGGCAGGATTTTCATTTCCTTTTGTCCATTTCTTTGAATATTGAGGCTTTTTCCTTCACTCATATTTTCTTTTAAGGTGTTCTATTAATTTTGTAGTTAGGTGGCACAGTGGATAGAGTGCCAGGCCTGGAGTAGGGAAGACTCATCTTCCTAAGTTGAAATCCGGCCTCAGACATTTCCTAGCTGGGTGACCCCAGGCAGGTTGCTTCACCGTTTGCCTCAGTTTCCTCACCTGTCAAATGAGCTAGAGAAGGAAATGGCAAACCGCTCCAGTACCTCTGCCAAGAAAACTCCAACTGGGATCATGAAAAGCCGGACATGACCGAAACAACTGAACAACAAATCATTTTGCTCCTTTTTCACATCTAGTCCAACCCTGTTATTTTACAGGTGAGGAAACTGAGGCCCAGGGAGATCATAGCATCATAGGATCACAGCTTTGGAGAGGGTCCCCTAGTCCAACCACCTTATTTTACAAGTGAGGAAACTGAGGCCCAGGGATATTACTGGTTTGGGATATCCTAATGGGCTGGATTATATGGCCTCAGAGGTCACTTCCAGCTCAGAGGTATGATCTTTTCCCAAGGCTTCAGATGGCCTCTGAAGATCCTTCCAGCTCAGAGATTCTGGGACTTCACTGCCATTTGGGGTGAGGGGGCAGATGGGGAGGAAGAGAGGTTGGGGAGCTGAGAGGCTGTCCCCCAAAACTGACCATTTTAGTTTCAAAACTGAACCCACAGAGAGCTTTCTTGAATGGAATCCTGAAGGATACCCACCAGAAGGAGAGACAGAAATAAGGCAGAACTATCCCAGAACGCTGGCAAGGTTTAGACCAACTTCCCTGCCTTCAGGCCAGCCCTGGCTGCTGCTGAGAAGGAGGGCTGACTCAGCCAGCTTCGCCTCAGGTGATCAGTTATACAGTGAACTCCTTGTTTCTGTGAGTGGATGGTGGAGAGCCCCTAGACCTGGGAGTGGCACAGCAGCGGGAGAACCTCTTAAACCCAGACCGCCTATGCTGAGAGAGCAGGACAGGGAAGCCTTTGAAAGGCAGTACCACCTCCTGTAGCTGTATGACCCTGGGCAAGTCACTTATCCTCCGCCTGCCTCAGTTTCCTC